ATAAGAGATGTGATACTAAAGCTACCTGTTGGGGAAGAAGGAGTTGAGGCCTGAGGCATCTAAGGTGGACACAGCTGGTGCATTGGCTGTTTCCAGGCACCATGCCAATTTCTAAGAGATAAAAAAAATCCTTTGCCAGGAGTAGGCAATACCTTTGTTGACCAGATAAGTGAGCAAACTGCTGGTGGTTTGGGTGAAATGGCCATCCTACCTGTAAAGACTAAGGGGAGCGTCGATCTATATGATTTAAACTTTTTGGGTCCCAGTTTCCTCATCTGCAAAATGGGTAGGTTGGACTAGATTGCCTCTAAAGCCTTAGCCAGTTCTGAATCTGTGATCCTGTGACTGTTGGCATCAGAACATGAGAAGAATATTAACCCTTTGGGAATTGTCTTCTTTTAGGACAGTTTCTCTAGGGCCAAGAGGAAGATTTTTCAGGGGCAGCTAGGTGGCACAGTGGATAAAGGTATGGCTTTGGAGTCAGGAGGACCTGAGTTCAAATCCAGCCTCAGACACTTGACACTTACTAGCTATGTGTCCCTGGGCAAGTCACTTAACCCCGATTGCCTCACCAAAAAAACAAAACAAGAGAAAGATTTTGTCCTTCTCCAACCTCTCCCACTTCTTTTAAAGAGAGAAGTGGTGTGGTGGTCATCTGAATAGCTGATCCTTCTACTCTAGAGAGGATAAAATGAGGCTGAGACCACAGACATAAAAATCCTCTGACATTCAAAGGTTTATTCATGCTATTGTGTATTTAAAAAAAAACAACTGAATCTGATCTTAGTTCATCTATAGGCCCTAGAAGAAGAAAATAGAATAATATGCCCCTTTTAGGGACACTTGGTTAGTAAATATCTGAGGAAAGATTTGAAATCAGACGATCCACCTGACTCCAACTCCAGTGTTTTATCTACTATGCCCCCAATTATTGTTATTTCTGTTTACTTGATTTTCGAGCCTGGCTCTCCCAGCTAGCTCATCCAGGCTGTAGAACTGATCTACCAGTCTCAGCTCCCTGTAGGGATTACAGGGATGTACAATCATACCTGCCTACCTCAAAATACTAATGATTTCTGTTTCCCAGCTCTGAACTGATCATCTGTCCTGGGCAGGAAAAGGGGAGCATGTACTGTTTCCTATGATATATAGAGATGATGGGGATGGTCTGAGCCCCTGGACCATTGGTGGGAGGTGGGGGGAGGAACTTGATATATTTAACTGGTGGGGGGAAAGCGCTCACGCTCTCTCTCTTCTCTCTCTCTCTCTCTCTCTCTCTCTCTTCTCTCTCTGTCTCTCTCTCTCTCCTCTCTCTTCTCTCTCTCTCTCTCTCTCTCTCTCTCTCTCTGTCGGCAATCGGGGTTAAGTGACTTGCCCAGGGTCACCCAGCTAGTGAGTATAACGTGTCTGAGGCTAGATTTAAACTCAGGTCTTCCTGACTCCAGGGTCGGTGCTCCTAGCTGCCCCTAAAAGGTGTCTCTTGTATGTCTTTCTGCCCCCAAGATTCCCTCACTTTCCCTGAACTTCTATTCCCCGGGGCTAGCAACCATATTGGCATGTGGATGTGGACCTGTTTCTCTGCTAAAAAAAAAATCAGATCCAACTTCTCCCCACTCCCAGCCCCACCCCTACACATATTCCTTTGCAGGAAGGCTCCTGGCCAGAGAGAGGGAGAAGCTGAAGGAGCTTGTATGCTCAGCATGTCCCAAGACTCTTGCCTGTTTTTTCTTTCATTTCCTCTTTCCTCCTCCACTTTCTCCACACCACCTTCCTTCCATTCAGATGTTTGCTTTTGCAGCTGGAGCACACCACCTACCTATGCATCAGGAGAAGTGGGCAAGGGACCATTCTGGTCTGGGAGAGGGCTGAGCTGGACTTGGGGCTAGACAGAGACTTGGGAAAAGCCACAGAAAGCTTGGGAACTAGGTAGACTGGGAAGTGGGGAAACCGGTTTTTCAGTTGGGCAACTAGAGGTGGGCTGGGCTTGGGGTGGGGTCTCCTGTCCCAACCTCCCCCTTTTCCGGTCCGTAATCCTTTAATCAAGTAACCAGCTTGCCCTATTGCCCAGGGCAGGAATTATGGCCCCACACCTACTAATCTTCAATGGTGTTGGGGGAGGAGTTGGCAAGAGCATTGGGGGCCTCTAGTTAATCTGTCTCTCTCTTCCTCCTTCATAGAGAGAAACTCTGTGGAAGAGGCATAAGGAGGTGGAGGAGGGAGGGAGATTTCTTGGGGTAGGGTTGGGGGTGGAGGTTGGCTAGGTTCAGGGACCTGGAGCTAAGCGGGAGAAGGAAGCTGAAAGGGACTGGTAGGCTACAGGCTGGGAGGAAAGTTAAGAATGGGGGCATCTGTGGAGGGATTGGAAGAGGGTGGGGGGGACCTACAGACAGAGGGGAGGAAGATTTGGATGGAAGGACGTCGGTTGGGGTGGAACAAGTGTTCACAGCATTGCAATAGGATTTTGCCCCCTCTCAAAAACCTTCTTCCCTAAGTCACTATGTTAAACAGCAGAAGTCTTTAAGAACTGGAGGAAGACTGAGAAGTAGGGGCGACCCGAATCGTCAGCAAGGGGCACTGAGGATCCTCTATGGGGGAGCAGGAACCCTACTCCAAAGGAGGGGCTTCGGGGATCTGGCTCGGACTAGTCACAGTATACCTCAGACTCAGAGGTGAAGGGGTCGTGGGAAGAGAGAAGACGCGCCTTTCCCATCTTGTTTTATCCCTCTTTTTCATTTCCTATATTTTAGGGTCACCTTGGTTCAAAATCAGCCCCAACAGCCTCGTTGTCCCCCTCACCCGCTCTCTCCTTCTCTGGTCACAGGTTCACTGAGGACTGAAGTGTTAGAATCAAATATGGGGAGAGTTTGGCTATCCAGGCGGATTAGGGGTTCCCGAGTGGTGGACCGGCCCCCTCCAAACCTATAGATCACACGCAACAGGGACTGCTGATTAGAGACCCCCTCGAGTCTGCTGTCATCCCAGCTCTCGGTTGGATGGGCCCACAAGGGAGGTCAACCCTTTTGGGCCACGAAAGCCTTTTTGGAGGGAGACTGGAAGGAGGGGTAGAGAGGCGTCTCTCTGTGAGCATCTCTCTTTCTCTCTGCCCCTCCCTCCCCCTCCCGTCTCCTTGGTACCTCAGGTAACCTAGTGCCGAATAAGATAATGTTGGGGTGGGGGCCGAATACCCAGAGAAAAGAAGAGAGACACCTAGAAAGACAGACACTGCAGATTGAGAGAGGGGAGGTAAGGGAGAGCAAGAGGAAAGGACAGAGCCGATGTGGATGTGCCCCCACCCATTGGTCCCTTTGTAAGTCCCAGCCACAGGCGCGCACTCAGAGCATCGCGCGGGGACGCGCTCTCTCTTTCACACACTCACACACTGTAGCACACCCGCCCGCGCGCACATACAGACACACAGACGCACACGCAACACACACACACACACACACACACACACACACAAGCGCGAACATACACAATTGCGCGCGCGCGCACACGCGCACACACACACACACACACACACACACACATACACACACTCGCGGTGACACACCCGCGCGCGCGCACTCACACACCCGGCCGCGGCTCCCTCCCAGCTCCATCCATCCCGGCGGGGCCCGAGCCCCCCCGCGCCCCGAGTGAGCCCAGCGCCCCGCGCCTCCTGCTTGGCACCGCGCCCCGGGGCTGGGGCAGAGCGAGGAGCCGGCGAGAGAGCGAGCGAGCGCCAGGCAGGCAGGCAGGCCGGCCCGCCCGGGGCCCCCGCCCCCGCGCCCCCCCACGTCCGATGGGGAACGCTCCGTCCCAAGGCATGTCCATGTCTCTCTCCTTCCTAATGTGCCTCCATGCTTAAGTGGAAGGTATTTCTGTTTTCTTTGTGTGTTTTCCCCTCGGCCGGGGGTGGGGGAGGCGGCTAGGTGGGGGGCGCCAGGAGGCCGGGGCTATGGATGCTGGGGGTGCAGGTGTGTGTGGATGTGGATGCAGGAACCGGAGATGGAGAACTGAAGACTGGAGTGGTTGAATCAAAGATGGGGGAGGGGGGGCTTCTGGAGATTCAGGAGACCGGGGAGCCGGAGGAGTCAACAGACAGGGTAGAGAGGGCCAGAGATGGAGAGATTTGCTTGAGGTGGGGGGGTGGGGAGGGAAGACGCTGGCCTGGCAGTCTAAAAAAAGGGTGTGTGCATTAAAAAGGGGTGTGTGGAGGGCAGAGTAAGGGGGGCGCTGAAGGAGGGGTGGTGTTGAAGATGTAGGGTGGAGATGGGGATGAGAGAAAGGGGGAGGGGAAAAGCCATGAGAGGTGATGGAGAGACAGAGGACAGCAGGGGGAGTTAAGTGAGGGCAGGTGTAGCAGGAAGATGGAGAGATGAGGTAGGGGCGATTCAGGGTGAAGGCTGATGCAAAAACCCCTCAAACAAGATTTTTTGCTATTGCTAAAGTGGTAAGAAGCGTAGGAAGGCTGTTAAAGGGGCCAGTGGCCTCCTTCTCCACCCCCAGGGAAGAAGGGGGTGTGTTTTACTTCTGTAGGTTATGTTGCCAGGATATAGGGCCTGGTTTGCCCCCAGGGAGAAAAAGCCTCCTGAGGCTTCTGTCCCGGAGAGTGAACTCCAGCAGCCATAGCAGCATGAAGAACCAGGGACTAAAGCATGCTGATAGTCTCTCCACTTAGCACAGAGGGAGAGAGTCTAGAGAAAAAGGAGGGATGGGATGGTAGGGTCATGGAGTCTGTTCTTATCTCCACCCCCCCACTCCCACTCCCACCCCCACTGAGATCACAGAAGGATAAAGGGCAAGAAGGTACGCCAGACAGGCCAGACTCTGCTTGGGCAAGGGGTCTAGGATAAACTGGTGGCTGGATACTGCAGGTAGGAGTTGCTTGGGGTGGGGTTAGGGAGGAGAAAGGAGCTAGATATGCTCCCCCCCTTTATAATACGTCAGAGGCTCCCCAGCTCTAGGCTCCTGTTGGGTGGGGGAGCAAGATGCTGGTGGAGGCGGTGGGGATCAGGTGGGCAGCTGGGAAGCTCAGCAGTCAGGGCTGTGGCGTCCTGGTGCCTGGGTGCCTGCATACCAGTGTGCGTGTGTGCCGGCTGGGCAATCTGCCCCACACCTCTCCACACCTCCCCCTCCCCAGCGTTCCCCATGCAGCCTTGGCACTGTCTCCGGCGTTTCGCCCTGGCATGGTGGGAGAGAACAGTGGAGGGCAGCCACCGGCCACCAAGAGAGGAGGCAGGACAGAGGGAACCGGGGGGCCGAGGGGAACAAGGTGAGAGGAATGGGTATGTATGTGGGGAGGGGGGACCTGGCCAGTGTATTTCACCTGAGATGATATAGCTTACCTGGAGCTGGAAGAGAGTAACCTTTTCCACTGGGCTTTGCCTGGGTTCTAGAAGTCGCAAGCTGGCCCTACAGTCTTCTGCCCCACTTGGGAAGGGAGAGAATGATTCCCTTGAGCTAAGTGCCTTCCCTTGACCCCAGCTTAGGTGGCTTGGGAGACACCTAAGGGAGTTAGGGATATGGTGTGTGTGTGTGTGTGTGCATGTGTGTATGTATGTGGGGGGCAGTGATGACGGTTGTAAGTATAAGTATTCTCTTCAGAGACAATTGGGAGTTTGGAGGAGGGAGAAAAAGCCAGAACTCCGGGGTTCAGTCCCAGAGGAGCTTGGCTGAGTGACCTTGGACTTTGCTATCTCTCTGTACCTCAGTTTCCTCTTTATCCCTTCTGCAAGCCCCAGGGAAACTGGGAGTGCAGTAGTAGCTTTCACAATATAATTGTAAAATGTTAAAATTATTGCTGTTATTATCAGCTGTAATTCCCTGAGCGGGTTGTACGCAGTTGTGTGAGTGAAATTAGGCTTGTTTACATTTGTTAAGCGCTTGGAGATCATTTCAGTGATAATGGCTCACGGAGCTGGTATGGTGGGTTTTGTTGCCTTGTTTGGAGGGGGGTATCTCTGTGGGTTCCAACAATAACCTCATCCCCCTCTCTCCAGCTCCTCTCCATCCCCTACTCCCCTGGCATTCAGGCATAGTTAGTTGGCACCATGGTGCCAAAGTCTCCACCCTGGCTGTTTGCCACCAATGGCTCTGGGACAAGAGGGTCTTTGTCCAGCTGCCCCCCCAGCCATACTCCTTCCGTCCTCTCCCCACAAAGGTCTGGTTCTCTTTGGTACTCTCAATATGGGGTGGGGGTTGAGGGAACATTTTCCCCCAATCTGGTTCTGGCCTCTGGGGACCTGGAGGGGGCATATGTGTTATTCAGGCAGTGGTGTGAAAGGCAAGAAGGTGAGTGTTTATATTTGAAAGACAGTGTCTTTTGGGAAACCCTGATGTTTTGGAGTGCCCCTCTTTTGATGAGCTATCTCCTTTCCCCCTGTCCCACTGAGATTGTCTGCTGAGCTGAGTGTGTTTGTGTGTGCATGGGGGGAGGTTTGGGGGGCAGAAAGGGTTATAACATCCTTTGATTCCTTATCAGTCTTGGTATCTCAGGGATGCCTAAGGCCTGGAGTATCAGGATGTAGACTCTATAGATGACTGAATCTGACCTAGGAAAAGGGTTTAATTAGAGTAATTGATTTTACCCTGGCTGTGGGCATCCAGCAAAATCACGTGGTCAGGTCTGGTGTCAGGATTGCCATCTGCCCAATGCCAACCATAGTATTCCTTGTTCCTGTTCTGCCTGGCAGTATAGTTGCAAGAAAGGAGAAGGGTGATTAGGGATGCTCTTTTGATTCGGGGTGGGGTTGGTCCTGGGCAAGGGGCTGAGGAGATGTGAGCCAGGGGAGCTCTGGAGAGAGGGACTCATGCTTAGCGCCCAGGGAGAGAATCAGGGGCATGGAATGAACAGAGCATCCGTCTCATGCCCTATCTAATGCAGCAAACAACCAATGGGCTCAGAGTTCCTAGAAATGCCTGGGATTTATGAGTCAATGTTGGGGAGAAGAGACGATGAAGAAGATGGGTGTGTCTGCATTTAAGGGGGCTCTTGAAATGAAGAGGAATCAGTAAGCAGTTCAGGGTAGATGATTCATACTGGGGGAACTAGGGAGTCAGATAAGAGATCTAGTGCCCCTCCACAAATTGTCATAGCTCTTCTAGGAACACGGAATACTTCTTTTGGAGGGGGGGAGGGTAAGAATTGCTTTCCCTTCTTTCCTGTTTGGGAGGCACAGAGAGGGATAGCAGCTTGCTCCAGGTGGCCCAGCCACTAAGTGGCTGAGCCAACTTCAACATCTGAGCCTCATCACTCTGGTGGGGAAGAAGGGAGCAGCATCAGTCTAGTTGTGTCTCAGGCCACTCAGGCAAGGAAAGGAGCCAAGTCCTTTCCAAGCAAGCATTTCTTCCATCTCCCATTCTAGAATGGCCCAGAGTGCAGGTGCAGAGTTTTCAATGAGCCATTCAAATGGCAATTTAAAAATTATTCCTGTGCTTCCCTGGGTCCGTGTGAGGATAATAAAAAAATCTGGCCATCAGCAGGTTTGAGGGCAGCTCAGGCTTTTCCTTCTTTCGTTGCCTGGCTATGACAAGCTGGGAGATGATGGCTTTGGATTTGTCTGGGAAACAGCAAAGCCAAATTGAGAGGCAGGGCAAATTTCCTGAGTGCCCATGGAGGAGCTGGGTGAGTGGGATTGGGCCAAGAGACATCAGGTTTGCTGCTCTCTTGCTGCCTGCCCATCTCCCCTAATCTTCCCCCAAACCTCACCCCTCACTGACGAGTTCTGTATTTGGATTTATCATTCATCTGAGTGGCTTTGGGAAGGTGGATTTCTTGCTCTGTATCTGTTCCATCTTTGTGCTTAAATACTCCTGTGTTTTCATCTCTCTCTTACCCTGTCCCTCAGTCTCTCTGTCTGTTACTCAATCTCTCTCCTTCTTCTGACCTTCAGTCTTGATTCTTTGTTCATTTTCTCTGCTCCATTTCCCCAGTCTCCCCCCTTCCCCCTACAATTCTTTCTGTGTTCGTGTCTTACCCTCTTTCTACTTCCTTCTCCTCTTCTCTGTCCACTACTTTTGACATCTGTCCCTCAGACTTCTCCCTTGTCCCTCAGCTTCTCCTCTGTCTCTTAAGTCTCCTGATTTTTCTCTTTCTCTGTTCCCTATTCTTCCGTTCCCATTTCCTTCCAACACTTTTTTCTGTATCTCTGACTCTTATCAGCCCCTTTGCCTCTTCCTCTCTGTCCACTAGTTTCATCATCTGTCCATCAGTTTCTTCCTTGGTTTTCCTCAGTCTTCCTTTTTCTCTGTCCCTCAGCCTCTTTTTCTCTTTCTCTATTCCCCATTTCCCTTTCCTCTCACCCCTCTCTCTGACACCTTTCTCTGTGTCTCTCTTACCATCCCTTTACCACCTCTTTCTATTATTCTCGTAGTCCGTCCCTTAGCTTCCTCTTTTCTCTGTTGCCCAATAAGCCGCTCTGTCCTTCAGTCTCCCTCAGTCTCCATATCTTCCTTCCCCTCTTGGTGTTGCTTAAGCATCTCCTCTCTGCCCCTGTCTATCACAATCCTTTCAACTTCTCTTGGTTCCTCACCGTCCCCTTTTCTCTGTCCATCAATCTTGCCATCTTTCCATCAGGCTCCTTTCTCTCAGTTGCTTCTGTCTTCCCTCCTCTCAACCCCTGTTTTCCTTCGTCTGAGATTGGTCCTTGCTTTCTAGGACTGTCTGGGAGGTGGAGCAGTCAAGTGTGGGGGGGAGTAGCGGAAGGAGTAGGATTGATACAGACTATTATGGTCTGGCAGGTGCCATGGCTATCCTCAGCCAAGCTGAAGGGGGCATGCTGAGCAGTTAGTGATGGGTTGTATGTGTGTGTGTGTGTGTACATGCTCGAGTGTGCATGTGTGTGTGATGGGGTAGCCAGTTATTATGTTCCCCTCCTCACTGACCCAGCCTCCATTTCTCTAGGACCACAGCGGGCACCTTGCCCTGACATTGTAATGTCTCTCCTCTGCTTCATAGACTCCAATTATTTCCCTGGTCTCCATCATCAGAGCAGATTTATTATCGCCTACTGCCTCTATTCTCAGCTCCCTCCCCCCTGCATATCTCTCTGACTCCTCTTACCCAACCACCTCTTCCCCTCCCCATGCACCAGTTCCTAGAGTCTACTATTCCCTCTTTTCCATCATCTCACTCCAGAAAACCCCAAGACTAGAAAGATCCTAAGGGCCTGAGGGACAGGAACCACTCCCTGCCTCCTCCCACCCATGGGCTATACTACCCTGGGGATTGGATGGAAACAGATTTCTTTCTCCATTGCATGGCTAGAATAAATTTTTGTCAATGGGTGATTCTCCTAGGTTCTCCTTGGTCCTTGCGTTATCTAATTTTGGGGCACAGTGCCTTGTTCAGCCATGTTTGTTTATTATAGTGTAAGGACTCTTAGATCTCTGGTCTAGAGACCTAGATCTGAGTCTTGGATAGGCTGTTAGTTCTCTTTGTAAACCTTGGAATAATCACATATACCCCTTGACCCTCAGTTTTGTCATCTGTAAAATGAGGGGGTGGTCAGACTAGACCAGGAGTTCTTAGCCTGGAATCTGCAGATACACCTGAACTAGATGAATGCTAAAATCTCTTCCATATCTGACATTCTATAGCCAGTCAGTCTGGCACCAAACATTTATTAAATGCTTACTGTGTACCAAGCACTGTGCAAAGTGCTGGGGTTACAAAGAATGGCAAAAATATAATCCCTGCCCTCAAGGAGCTGACATTCTAACGGGGGGAGAGGATGACCAAATACGAATAACTACACACATATGAAATTTTTCAGTGCAAACTGATGGTAACCTCAGGGGGAATACAAAAGACTGGGAAAGACTTCTTGCAGAAGGTGAGATCTGAGTGGTTTTGAATTTGCATATACTAGATGTAGAAACACTGAATGGCAGGAGGGGATGGTTCTCCTACTGAAATAATGGTTTTCTTTGATTTCCCAGATGGAAGAAAGCTAAGGTCAAGAGCACTTGAAAGACAAGGATAGAAGTGAGGAATCCTGCCTCTTGGTCTTCCTTAGGGAAACTTGTCTTGTTGCTTTCCTGCATTCCAGCTTCACAGCGGGTACAGCTATGTTGGATCCTCAGACTGAGGGGAGGCATCCCAGTGAGGGAGTTATCTCCTTGACCCTGATCACTGTTGTCTGATCAGTGGAGGTCTCTGTTGTTGGACAGAACTATTGTTTACCAGACAAGTGACCTTGTGCAAGTCACTTCCCTTTTCTGCATCTGTGTTTCTACCTCAATCATATGAGTGAGTTACATTAATTCAAGGAT